ACCACACTGCCAAAACTGCCATCAAAAGGAGAAACACAAGGAATAGTCCTTCTTTGGGAATTCAAGTAGTTATTTTATCTCAGAACTCATTGAGTAAGTGGCTCTAATTTTCCTGAAGAGTATTTCATTGATATCTTTAAGATACCAATGTATATTTCTGAACTATATTTAAAATGTGCATTTTTCTAAAGCTGCTTACTTTTCCTTTTCATAGATTATTGCTGCAATGATCATACAATTTTGAGAAATTAGATACTTATATCTGTTATGCTTTCTTTTCAGTCATTGAAAATGTATAGTTTTAACCATTGTTTTTCAATTTTTCTAATGCTGGATGCTTCATTGGATTGTGTTTAACTAGTTTATTAATCTCATTTACTAGTAGATCATTTTCAGGATAACTGCTGATAATGCTCCTCTTAAATTTTAAATACTAAAGAACAATTCCAAGAATTTGAGCCCTTCATTCTAGAAGCAGAAGTTCAGTTGCCTATTGCAGCATATTTCAAGTTACTATGGTTTGTATGTAAACTTTCACCTTCTTCACTTTGGTTTCAGAGACATTAGTAACCCAAACAAATATCATTGCTAAAGACATAATCCACTTTAGTTAAAAATCTTACTGTGTTTTCATGTGAACTGCTTTCTTTATGTTCTTCACCAATTATTGTGCCGAATTTCTAAAAAATGATACAAGAAAAAATAAACTATGTGATTCTCATCACGCCCTTACTTTAATAAGGAATACAGAAGCTATAAATTTTAAAATGTAGATATAAATAACTTGATGACTGTGGAAAACTGGCATAGAAGGTTTTGACCTAACACTGAAGTGCTTCTTGCAGCAGAAGGAGATCAAAATATATCACCCCCAAATATGCCACTTTGGCATAAGGATTATTTTGAGCTAAAGCTAAGTGAGAATCAACAGATATAGAGAGAATTATCTGCCCTCCATTATCTGCCTAAAAGCAGGGTATAAATTTCCCTTTAAGGAAGATGCTCTCTTTCCCCAACACCAGTGAGAAAGATTGAATCACCATAGAAGACAGGGAGTCGACAGCAGATGAATTTGCTGAAACAGATCTTACTAAAATAAACCTTGTCTTCCATTAGTTCCTTCATATACTTACTAGTCACTTTTCCATAAGTCAATTCTCCATTATCCCTTGAAGCCCAAATTCTCTTTCCTTTGTTAAAGGGGTATAAAAGCCTCAGCCTAACTGCTTCTTTGAGTTTCACTTATTTTCTGTGAACTCCCATGCACATAAATATTAATAAAAATTATATGCCTTGTCTCTTGTTAATCTCTCTCTTGTTAGTTTAATTCTCATGCCCCAGGCACTGAACCTAAAAGGATAGAAAAAAGTATTTCCTCCCTGACCGAGTTGTGATCAAACTCAGTTCAGAATATTATTACTTAAGTAACGAGAACTAACAAGTGTTTTTTATTCCAACATCCATCACAGTATGAAGGACATATCTCAGTTTACAATACCATACCTTGATCTGCAAAGCAAAGGAGATCTGACAAATTAAATCTATTGAGAAATAACAACAGGTCTGATGCTTTAAAAAATATATGGTAGGTGTATTTCTCCCACTAAATATAGAAAAACAAAAATTCCTGTGTTCCAATAACCTCACCCAGCAGTAAGGAAACACCACCCAGGCATGTCAGTGGAGGCTGTGGGGGGAACTTGGACTACAGCCCCCACCAGTCAGTAATAAGATGGCACCTGCTTATTCTGGTATCAGAGAAGGCCTGCTGAAGAGAATAGTTAATGAAATCCAAAGTCTTATAAAATAATACCCCAAATGTTCAGGATATAATCCAAAATTCACTTATCGTATCAAGAACCAGGAAAATCTCATTTGAATGAGAAGATAATCAACAGGCAGCAACACCAAGATAACAATGCTGTCAGAATTATCTGATACGGATTTTTAATCAGCCATAATAAAAAAAATGCTTCAGAGAGCACTTATGAACACACTTGAAACAAACAAACAAAAGGGAATCTTGGCAAATAAATAGAGACTATAAAGAAGAAAAGAAAACTGCAGAAATGAAAAATATAACTGACATAAAAAACTCAATGGATGGGACGGGCACAGTGGCTCATGCCTGTAATCCCAGCACTTTGGGAGGCAGTACTTTGGGAGACCAGCCTGACCAACATGGTGAAACCCCGTCTCTACTAAAAATACAAAAAAATTTGCCGGGCGTGGTGGCGTGCGCCTGTAATCCCAGCTACTCAGAAGGCTGAAGCAGGAGAATCGCTTGAATCTGGGAGGCGGAGCTTGCAGTGTGCAGAGATCGTGCCAATGCACTCCAGCCTGGGCGACACAGTGAGACTCTGTCTCAGAAAAACACAACAAAACAAAAAACCAGAGGAAAGAATTAGACAATCAGACTTGAAGACAGAACAATAATAAATTATCCAAACTAAACAACAGAAAGACGATAGACTAGGGGAAAACGACAACAAAAAGCCTCAGGGATCTCTTAGACTCTAACAAAAGATCCAACATTCAGTCATCAGAGTTCCAAAAGGAAGGGAGAAAGAAGGTGGGGCTAAAAAGGTATTCAAAGAAACAATGTCCAAAAGTTTCTCAAATTTGCCAAACAAAAACGTAAACATTTAGGAGGCTGAGTGAACCCCAAATAAGTAAATTCCAAGAAATCCAAGCCAAGCAAGATACATCATAGACAAACCTAAAAATCAAAGACAACAACAACAAAAGAAACAAAAACCAAAAAACTTTAAAGCAGCCAGAGAGAAATAATACCTTATCTTTAGGGGAAAAACAATTAGAATGACAAAGATGTCTCATCAAAAACCAAGGAATCCAGAACGAAGTGGCACAACTTTGAAAGAACTCTCAACCTGGAATTATATATCTGGCAAAAATGTCATTCAGGAATAAAGGGGAAATCAAGACAAGCTCGAAAAAGAAATACTAACAATTTGTTGCTAGCATACCTATCCTAAAAGAATGGCTAAAGAAAGCTCAAGAAAAGAAGGGGCTCAAACATTGGAAAGGAAGAAAAAACAATGTTAAAAGTAAAAACAAGAGCTGAGAAAGGACTGAAGAGGAAGGACTACTAGAACAACATAGAGCCAGATGAAACTACGGCCACAGGAGCAAGCCATGGATGAACTGGGACTGTGGAGAGGAGCCCGTGCACTAGAAATTGTGCAAAAGTAGAGCTTTAGTCTCTATTCTAAATATGGCAGATATGCTTGGCTGCCTACCTGTCAGGCCTCTGAGCCCAACCCTGCAGGTATGCATCAAGATGGCCTGGAGCAACTGAGGAACTTCAGGAGAGGTAAAAATAGCCAGGTCCTGCCTTGACTGATGATATTCCACCATTGTGATTTGTTCCTGCCCCACCCTAACTGATCAATTGACCCTGTGACATTCCTTCTCCTGGACAATGAGTATTAGAAGCTCCCCAGGGAGCACCTTGTAACCTCTGTCCCTGCCCACAAGAGAAAAATCCACTTTGACTGTAATTTTCCACTACCCACCCAAATCCTATAAAACTGCCCCACCCCATCTCCCTTTGCTGACTCTTTTCTTGGATTCAGTCCGCCTGCACCTAGGTGACTAAAAAGCGTTATTGCTCACATAAAGCCTGTTTGGTGGTCTCTTCACACGGACACGCGTGACACTACCCAATAGATAAAACTCCCATTCTTTCTTAATAACAAAATCACAATTTAGTTCTGGACTGGGTATCACATGATTCAGAGGAGGCCAGTTCCCTCACCAGATCTACAGACTAAATTATGATTTGTCAATGCCAGTTGTAATTTCATTCCCTTAACAAATACCTGGTTTAGTGTGGGCTTGAGAAGCAGTTCTAATTAAGGATTCTTGAACAGATATCTTCTGAGAGGCTCTTGAGAAAGATTTCTCCATGAATAAAAACTTATGCAACAGAATTTTGATTCCCCTTTTTCTGCCTCTGGAAGTCACTGTGATAACTGAAAATGTGGCAGTCAACTTGAGACCATAGGGGAACGCAAACATGAAGACAAACCCACATACTACTAAAAACAGACAGATGGAAAGAACGTGGTTTCTTAATGATATCACTGAAGTACTGAATTAACCAAACCTAGTATTAACCTAGCTTCAAACTCATATTATGTGAAATAATTTTTTAAATCTTTCCCAAAACTCTGTGGCATCACATTAAAATGCTAGACAGTAGTCCATTATATGAATATACTGTAATTATGTAGCTATTTCTCTATAATTGGATCCTTAAGTTAGTTTCTTTCTTTTCTTTTCTCCCCCGTTATAAAGGATGATGCAATGAACATCTTTCAGTATAAAATTTTAACTGAATTTAGGGTATACTTTCCATGGACTTTGTTCCAAAGTCCAAGTCAAATGATACAAACATTTTTATTCCCTTTGATGAGCACAGTAGCACCAAACTGATTTCCAGAAAGTATGTTCTTATTAAACTCCTACCAACCATATGTATGGCCTGTTTTACTATATCCCTGCCAAGAGTCATTATTTTCCCTTCATTCTTACTGACGGCGCCTCACTTTAAAAGTCTTGATTAGTTTAAATCAATTTTGGTAATCCAAGTTTCTTCCTTGAGTCTTCTTTTTACATTAAGACAATAAATTATACATACTCGTAAAAATTAAATGGAAAATTTTGCTCACGTCAAACATTTTTTGTGCTACAAGATAGAACTGAGAACCACGCATAACATCACAATGGACAACACAAAGGGAAATAATTATTTCACTTAGGTTAAGGTTAATTCAAATTAAGGTTAATTTAAATTTTAAATAAAACAATGCTAAGTAGTATACTCTTTTCAAAAGAATTAGAGTTGAATGTTACTTGAAGAACATTAAAAAATATTGTAGCAGTCAGTAATTTGGACTGTACAATGAGAAAAATCATTAATTCAAAACGGTCCTCAATTAGATTGCAAAAATAATGAATACAGAGTATATACTTACAAATCAAACACCAAGTAGTGAAAGCCCTCCTCTGATATGCTATCATGAAGTCGCACTAGAAAAAAAATTAGAAAAGAAAATTGTGTTATACCTATTCCAATGATCAATGTTAAACCCCACTTCACATGGGCAGATGTCTCCTAGCTAGAAATATTAGCATTACATTTTATTTTAGCCTTTGATATGTCCGTATCTTTTACAACATAGCTTGGGTTCAGATACACCTAAGGTTTGGGTGCTGGTTCTGAAAATTAGTAACTATGTGATCTTAAAAAAAAAAATGCTTAACTTGTAATGATATTAGTACCTATGCTTTATAAAATGGTTGAGATTAAATGAGATAGAAATAAATCCACAAATTTTCAGGTGAATACTAAACAAATGTTAAGGATCATTATAATATATGTCCATATACTCAAAGTTACGAGGTTCTGGCAATTCTTTCACTTCCTTGCCATTCCCTTTGCTATCACCTTAGTCCAAGTCCTCACCAACTCATGCTTAGTCACTACAATAGACATTAAGAGGAATGATTCCAAGTCTAGGAAATGGTTTCCTTGTGTTCTCCCTTTTGTTCAAGAAGTTCTAGGTGGCACTCCCTGGTCAACCTGGCAAAACACAGTTTTTGTTATGTTACTTATTTACTCAGGACAGCCAAATCCATTTACCAAGTCATTAGCCCAAAATGTACAGCTTGAACTTTTGCTAAAATAATCTACTAGTTCCTCAAATTAATATCACTTTAAAAACTTCAGTGAGCTAGACTTTAACTGATAACTCTAAACTAAATCATACATGTAGAATTACATACCGCTGTCTGCTATTTATTTGTTCATAAGCCCCACACCTTATCCCAGTTATCCTTCATCGATAGTAAATTTTTCTTATTTATTTATTTATTTTTTACTTTTATTTTAGCTTCAGGTGTACATGTGCAGGTCTGCCACATAGGTAAACTCATGTCACGGCGGGTTGACGTACAGATTATTATGTCACCCAGGTACTAAGCCTAGTACCCAACAGTTATTCTTTCTGCTCCTCTTCCTCCTCCCACCTTGCAACCACTGGTAGCCCCAGTGAATTCTTCCTATGTATCCAAATCACTTGAAGTGGTGACTTGATCTTCACTGGGAGCAAAAGAAGGCAGGGAAAGCAAAAAAGTTTTGGGGCACAACTGCTTTTACAAATGTCACCACAAAATAATAATGATTTTCTACTACATTTCTACTACTGTTATGTTTCCCATGCACTGATGACCACCACATGGAAAATGTGAATTTATAAGAACATTTAGGTTATCACACAAACTAAAATTATTTATAGAGGGAGACTGTAGTACCCATTCAGTACTCAAGCTCATAGACTTAACATAATCTCTGTGCTTTATCATCTAATTCCATCCCCTTTGGATCTCATTCCTGGCCTCCTATTAAAATATTTTCTGAATCCCTCTCTAGATAGATTATAGTTTATAAAATATGAATTTTCCATTGTTACTAACATGAGGAGGAGGCCTATACTGTAGGCAACTGGGAATGCAGCCAACAGTTCAGTCTCAGACTCTCTACTTAGCCCTCGAATGCATGAAATGTAAGCACACTCCAGTCCCCCCTGCCCTGCCATCCTTATTTGTCACAGTGTCACCCTTGAGGTCATTCATGCAGCATATTTTATCTTTATTTACTACCTCTAACACCTTTCCCTTCTTCAATATATAGAGTCTCATCATCAATACTCCCAAACAGGAACCATATTTTATAAGTCTTGCATCCCACACAGAGATTTGGCACATAGTAGATGGTCTTTCATCAAATTGTTTTTGAACATTTACTACAGAAGGTTTGGGACAGAAATTTTCACCAATGATAGCTATATATATTATATAAACACATAACACACATGCATATATATATATATATAAATAAAATAAAACGATTGCTACATAAGCAATTCTTCCATCACTTCAATGGTGAGAAAGGTATTCTTCAAGTTGCCAATATCAGAGATGCCTGCTAGCTTTGCTTAAACTTATGCTGCTGAAGAAAATAAAGAGTTTGGTTTGATGATGCATCTTCTAATGATCATTTAGCACAGTAAAGAAAGCTGGGCCATGGACAATAGCTCACTGGTTTTCTTGAATGACACAGTTTCAGAGATACCTCACTTACCAGCTATAATACAGTATGTATTCAAATGAACTTAAATAATGGCATGGCTTCTTAAAGAACTCATACAATTATTCTGGAAAATAAGATGGGTTCCCATGTTATCAAAGTTAAACTGAAAAGTAAAGTCTATAATGTGACCAAGAGGAAATCATCATTACTTTCTTCCACTGTCTGAAGGTAAAAGCCTTAGGTGCAAGTGGGATCTCAGGTGTCCAGATCAAAGGGATGTACAGCTGAACAGAGGAGGATATTTCAGGTACAACTGGAGAAGTAGTAATAATTTCTGTCTATCCTGGGAATAACATTTTCTTAGAATTATTTCCATTCACTTATTAATACTAATTAATACTAAATATCATCGTTCAGAAATTATTTTTTGAAGAAGTCAGGAGTTGTTCAGATGGAAGCCTGATAATCAAACATATGATATAAAAGCACTTAACCAGCTAACATGTGATAGGTTTTGAGACAAATCATTCAGCCAAGTTTACTTCTTTTGCATCACATCACACAATTCCAAAATAATCTCTAATAAGTCTAACCAGTCATTTGACCACGCGAGATTATGAATAAGTATGTTACTGATGTAGCAGAAAAAAATCAGCATCATGTTTACTTGGGATTAATACATATATATTTCCTTCCTTCTTTCATTCCTTCCTTCCTTATGTCCTTCCCTACCTCCTTCCACTCTCTTATTTTAAATAATGAACTGAAAAAACAGAATTACATGAAATTGTCATGATTTTAACTTACTGTATTAACAAAAGTAGGTCCTGTTGTCTTCACAGAGACATTCCACATGTTTACAATTATTGTGAGGATGGGTTTGTTTCCTTTAAAAATGTTTAACTCTTCAACTATTATTCTCAGAGTTGATGGTATGTCTAAAACAGTCTGGAAGATACTGTTTTAGTTGTAGACATCATCTATTTATCTCCAAGCCTTTTCTGTTGGTCGAAAGTATCTTTCATCTCCTATCCTTTTTTTCCTTTTTAACAGTTTCTCAAGGATTGAAAATCATATTTACTTTTACAAATGTTACATTAATTATTTCCTATAAATAACTGTCAATTCATTTGCACACCAAGGGAATAACATAACATTCTGTTCATCACAGCTGTTAGCTCAAGATTGACGGCATGGCTGGCCTTGACAGCACTGCAGATGCTGCATTTTGAAGCATACTGCACCTCGTTCTTTCTATGACCGCTCTGTTATTGCCATAAGCTGCACATATGAGTGGGCACAATTAGCCTAATTACAGTTGTCCCTGTGACTTTTTTAGAGAGAAATTTTAAAAACGATAATGAGAAAAACATTTGAGAAAACAGGTTATAATACATTTTGGCAGTCATTCTTTTTGAAGTTTGCTCAAAGGTAAAATTACGTATATGAATAAATGAATTTTCACAACCTGAAATAGCACAACAGTTCTCATCTGGAATAGAATTTTAAATTATGGAACTTTAAGTATGGAATTTACAAGGGGGATAAAAGTGCTTCTGAGGCTAAAAATAGTTCCAAAGGTTAGTTGACCCATGGCCTAATTCTTTTCCTTTCTCTCCTGCGTGTATTATCACATTTGAATGATCACAGGATCGCTGCTTTCTCTTCCTGTCCTGTGTGCTTGCAATATTCCATTGCAGTTTCTAGCTAAATATTAGCTCCATAAAGAAAGGGTCAAATAGGCCATGGTCATTGTATGATCTGAGAAATTTTAAATATGATAGAAGTTTTCTATTTATTTTAATTCTTCATTTCACTTAAGGGGTTAAAAGATAAAATAAAACTTACAGTTCTTACTGTCAGGCACAATGCAAATAATTTGTGCAAGAGTTATTTAATATACGCAAGCATCACAAGGACACTTTGCCATAAGCTTTTACAAATGAACATTCATAGGCTTAGGGGTGTGGAGAAAATTTCCAGGTTAACAGCCAGTGATTGGCCAGGCTAGGACCAAAATGTAGAGCTGGATGATTCCAAAGACCTTGTTCTTACTGAGAATACTAGGTGGGCTCCCTAAAACCTTTCTGTCAACAAACTACTTGCCAAATACCTGGTGGCATATGAACTGGTTTGTCAGGGTAAAATAATACTCAAAAAAATTCAAAAGAGAAGAAATAAAAAAATTATTATGGTGACTGAAGAAAGAAAAGTAGTTTAACAAATAAGTAACAGACAATTTCCACAGAAAAAGAAAACTATTTTGAGTGTAGGTTTAAAATGTGATGCTATAATTTTGAGGGTATAGAGGTAGCTAGATGATGTCTAGGATATGAAGCCACATTTGTCTCTCTATACGGTTCCTAAAGCCCCAGAAAATTGTTATTTTTCCACTTCAAATTAGGAATATGAGAATTGCCAGTGACTCAGCTGTTTTATCTGATAGAACATTTAATGTACCAAAAATGCTAGTGAGTTGAAGAATCTGAAAGCTTACCCAACATACAAAATATCATAAATTTAAATTATTTTCATTTCCAAAAATTAACACTTTCACATCATGGACATTATGATAGCATGGACAAAAAGGTGTGGGGGGAGGTGGGCGGGGGTGGAAGTAGAAATGAATGGGCAAGGGAGAAGAGGGAAAAGAGTAGGAAAATTAAACTCCAAGTAGAAGCTATGTCAACGGTGATTAGGTACATCTTATCCATTTTGATGACACATGTTAGAAACACTCCTGTCAAAAGAAAATGAATATATTATTTTACAGAGACTTATTATCTTTCATAAAAGACTGATGATAGGATACAAAGTCTTCCTCTTTCCTCCATTTCTTAACAGTACCCCCCACACAAAATAAAACCAAGGTTGTTAATTATTTATATAAAAATTATTTGGTTCAAATTATACTGATTCTTACTCTGCTACACAACCC